TGGGGGGCACGCGGTTACAATTGGTGGGGGGGTGTTTGTATGGATGTGAAGATTGTTTATCAGCCAAGATATCTGTATATACAAATATATATGCATTATTCAGCCTTTAGCATTTCAAGCAAAACAAATGCAAAGTACATACCAAGAGCAGAGTCAACTTACTCTCAGTTCTATTAATCTACTGCAAGAACTACATCTACATCTTATTCTCACGAGACCTGATGCTGTTTTTTGCCACTGTTGTTTTACTGACATTATTTTAATCTTAGAAAATCATGTAACAAAAATTCTAGTGAAATAAAAGTTCTTCAACAAAATTACAGCATGAAATAGACAGTGAAATATTAGAAAAAACACTACATAATGATTTTAATTGCAGAATGACAAATTGGCTCACAACCCCTGAACCCCGACTGCCCTGAGCAGTCAAGTGTTACTAAACCTCTGTGTTGGGAAAGGAAGAGCAGACAGGAGCTCGGGACATTAAATACATCTCACATGCCGTATGACATTTACAAAGCTGGCTCTACGGTTTCAGCAGAGAAAGTCAAAGGGCAAATACTGGCCCCAGAGTTATAAATAGGAGGTCAAGACTGCTCTCAACTGGAAAGGCCAAGGGCAAATAAAGTTTAGACCTGAGCGCAATGCAGAGGAATGCATTTCACTGCCAACCCAAATCCCCACAGCCTCATACTGTTTTAAGAATATGGAGAGTGGTGACAAATGGCTGCACAGTAACATTCAGACAGAAACAGACTGCAAGTACAAGAACTAAGGTACAATCCTTTATTTAAATGTAAAAATAACACTCAGGAAGCATTGCTTTAGTTATCAACAGGTCAAAAGATTCTTTAGATGTCCAGATTACATATAACATTGTTTCAACAGCATGTAGACAATACTATTTCAATGTGCAGTAACTTCATGTTCGGACCAGCTTTGGGCTCTTCCTCAAATATCACACACATGTAATATCATTGAAAGCAATACAAACAGTGTAAACCTGTCTGATTACAGGGACACAGAGATATTGGCATTAGTAGAGCATCGGCCTGTATATTTATGTATTAACTGTTGAAACAAAATGTTGGTGTTGGGCATAATCAAGGGTTGCAACCAAGGATATATCAGAAAATGATATCAGTGATAGGAATATTTAAATAATAATATTTACATCTACATGACAAAAGTGATGAGATGTTAATTTAAACATATAGAAACACAAGGCAATTTAATATTGGCGAGTTTATTTTGGCCTATATGACATGACTGCATGCAGTGATGTGAAAAAGCAGCTAAAAAGGTAAAAATAATCTTTCATTTAATTATGGTTGAAGAGTGTGCTGATGCATAAGCCAAACATTTACAGAATATAAGTATGGTAAATAGCAATCTATTTAAAAAAAACAATTTCAATGGCTACAACAAAATGTATGTTGGTGTTTCATACAGCAACAGTACAGCATCAGACACAATAGTGACGTATTTAGTTTGAAAATAATTGACAACTGACAATAGCCATAATTTAAAGGATGAATTATGAATAAAAATGTGGCGTTGGCAATTTAGTCCTTGATCTTTGCACTCCATACATTCAAAGTGTTAAAATTTGTAAATATAATTTTGAAATTCTCTACATTAACTGAAGCACGTCAAAGGCACAACAAAAGCAGTAACAACCATTATCAGCTGCACTTTATGACTAGAGTGCCATCGATGGTTAACACCTCTGATGCATCGAGTCGCCGAGCTTCTGAAACACCGTTCTTGCAGCTGGGCCTGATCAAGCTGCTGGCTTCAAGCAGCCAGAGGGCCTCAGCTCCTGGTGTCTGACAATATAAAACTCACAGGTAAGCTTTGAGCGCCGGGCTTCTAAAAGTTGAAAGGATCAGGCCGTGTTTCTTCTGGACCTAAAATACACATTTGGTCCAACGACAGTCTTCATATTGCCGGTGGCTATAGAACAGTTTCTACTTGTTATGTACCCTATATGAAACCACTGGTTTATGAATAATCTATCTGTGCACATCACTAGTGTAGTAGAGTCATGGGCGTACAGCTTTACGTGCAGGGCAGTATGGTCTCTACACAGTTGTAGGTCCAATCCTGTCTCTCATTGATGGGCAGAATGTGTTGGCACACCTAGAAGACATAGAACACAAGATCTATGTGTTAGTATCCAAAACAACATTAACATATTAATTATCGTAAAAGTATTTTCTTACTCAGAATGAACACTTTCATTGTACATTTTAACGTTGTAGAATGGAACATTTTCAAAGTCACGATTTGTTCTTGTCATGATAAGGTTACATGGTTCATTTATTGAAATAATAAAAAGCAAGAGAGGACTTTCACTTCGTACCATCTTAGTCCTGGCTGGCACCTCGACTGCGAACACACTCATGCCTCTGCTGCTGCAACAGTTCCTGCTCTGCTCATTGTTTACGTGGACAGTCACTTTCTGGTTGGTCTGCAACATAAAGGGTTTTTATTGGCTTATCGAAAGCGAGCGAGGGTCAAAATGCAGTACAGATTGTAAAGCCCGCTGAGCAAAATTAGCAATTTATGATTATGGGCTATATAGACAAAATGTACTTAACTTGACTGGTCACTTAACACAAAATCACCATGTAGATATTGGCTACTAATCAAACAGACATATACTGTAGATATATAATTACTCAAGGACTCTTAAGTCTAAAACAGCCTATTGTTACTTTTACTAATAAAAACGGATCTGAACAGATGACCTTATGCTAATGTGAGAAAATAAATACATCTCCATGTATCAAACTGTGGCTATGTTTGGACACAACACAACTGTAGAGTATGTGGGTATTGGATATGTTTACAAGTACTGCTCCACACTCATGAACCCTCAAAGCTGCTCATGTCGCTGTAGATGAATTGTAAGGCAATGACTAAATAAAAAAACAAACAAAAGGACAAATCAACACTCTTGTGAAGACACGGTAAACTGAGAACAAATGTAACTATTTCCCCTGTTCAGTAGTTCCTTTGTATCACCAGGCCATTCTTTCTGAGTAGCTCCTGTTGCTATGAGAATCAATACGATAGCTGCATATCAATTACAAACAAACAGCGTCAATGGCATCTGCAACGATACACTGAGGACAGATACAGCCCTGGAAAGATACAAATTTAGTAAATTATTATTATTATTAATGTCATTCCTTTCAGTTCTTTTCACTTGATAATTAGCACCTCATAAATGTATGAAGTAGTGTATTCACTTACAGTCTCTCATTCAAGGTTGGACTATCATCCCCCTAGTGGCCATCAGGACACGTGGCAATTTGACAATCACACTGAAGCAGAAACATTACTCTTCAGATCATCACTCCCGCACAAGGTTTGTTGTCTACCTTGTTGGCTATGAGGGAGGAGATCCTGTGTTCTCCCCGGTAGGTGTAGACGAAGACGTTGTCTTGTCCTCTCAGTGCTTTGGCCCCTGTCCTGGCTGTGATGGACTTCTGGAGGGCCTGGTTCTGAAGCTTGGGCCCTGAGTCCATACTGAGTGGCTGGATGGATGGCTGAGTGCCTTCACAGTGTACATGTATCTGGAATGGACAAGCCTGACAGAGTGGGAGGTAGAGGAGTTCATTCAATTCGTAGGATTCGAGTGGGGTTTCTGTATGTGTGTTTATTACAACCAGTGCTTTTGCACTCTGAGGCTTTGTTCATGGAAAGCAAGTGAAAGAAACATGGAATTGAGAGTCAATTCAGTAGCTAGTTGGCTTATTGAAGGTTGAAATGTATTTTCCTATGAAAAGTCAAATTAAAGCCCTAAATTATGGCTCTGTCAAGTCATGTCATTTCATTTTAAAACTGATAGAAATCTGTGTGATTGTGTGCGATTGTTTTAAGTGAAAGCAGATGTGTAAACTTACATCTACTAGCTCCAGCATTCGGTTGAAGCCCATGGCTTCCAGGGTGACCCACAAGTCCGCAGGGTCTCCATTTTTCTCTGTGGCCTCCATCAGGTTGAGCTCCATGAAGCCCTGCCGTGTCAGCTGGTTCTTCCTCATATCAAAGTTCTCTGCACGCCCCCCAAAAAACCGGTGAGAGACATAATGGACCCCTCCCCCTTACAATATAAAAAAAATAAATGTAACACTGTGTATTAGTGCCATAATGAGAATGATTACCTTTGCACACAGCCCAGGCATCTTTGTCACATTTCTCTCCACTGGTCCTCAGCTCAAAGAAATTGTACTCCTCCAGACTGAGCAAACCATTGCCATCCAGGTCTATCACCTCAAAGATGTCAGACAGCACCTCCCTGTGGCACAGAGGGAGCAACACAGAGACGTGTCATACAGACAGCATCAATTTATTCACCTGTCCATCTGTCCATCTGTCCACTATCATATCCATCCATTAAAGTGCTGTGGTGGCAACGGAGATAGCAAAGCAGTCCAGACTTCTAGTGCTTTAAATCACAGGTTAGTCTTTTTCTACACTGACATTAATACTTTATACATTAAAAAACAATCTCAATTGTTGGACATTAGCTTAAAGCTGGTGACATTTCATCAAACTTCGCTATGTGTTGTGTTTTTATTCAACTGATAGCACACATACACGGGTACGCGATGACTCACACACAAACACACACACACACCTGAGCTCTCTGGTGAGGTCTGGTTCTCCAGTGTCAGTCCTGTAGATGAGCTCTATAGGTTTATTAGACAGGCTCTTTTTGCTCCTTTTCTTTAGTTTGCATCCACTAGTGAAGGGAAGCAGGTAATAAGCCCCAGCATGCAATTCTCCTTTCCAAACATATTTCTGCGGAAACAAAGGAGGAGTAGCAGCAAAGTAAGTAACTTAAGCATCATCATTGGGGATGATTACAATTCTAACACTGAATATGAGCAAATGTTCAAGTACAAGAGTGTATATCTCTCAATATAAACAACACATACTTCTTTATCTTTCGAGTCAGTGAAACCCACGAAAGATGAGTCCTCTTTGGTTTCACCAGCTGCCATTGCAAAAAGAGCCGTGTCCACTGTCATCCATGAAGAGGGCTTGTCTGAAAAGTATAGATTATTAAATAACGTAACAATGTTTAATACAAAACTACCATGTACAAATATGTCAAATTAGAGCATGCAATTACCGATGTATATATTGGAGTGACTTTCCACCACCTACATTCATCAACTATCTGCAATTGCATTCTTTAATTTTAGAAACTGAACTGAATAATCTGGAATTTACTGGGGCAATCTTTTTTTTTTAATGCCAGAAGGTCACAAAAAGCATCATCACAACGTGTGCAGCTACACTGTGTATGCCACTAAAGACAGTTGTGAAGCCATGGTGCAGGAAGCTGTCCAGCAAGAAATACAAATATGGGACTTCTAAGTAATGAACCCTTAGGAACGAATCCAGAATACTTGAGCAAATGATTGAATTCCTACCAGCTCCTCAGATGCTGTGCTGACCCTAAATTTGGACCTCCCTAATCAGGGAAGCAAACAAAAATATAACCTTATGGCCAATGGGGTAATCACATTTTAAAGATTGTTATGATCTTTGTTTATGTGTAACATAAAACAGTGCCAGTACTGGGTGCGTGGCTGAGGCTGAGTGGTTGGATGGTGAGGTAGACGTTGGTCGTCTGGGGAACGTGGAGCTGGTACTGCAGAGAGCTGATACTCCCATCGTCCTCCAAGAAGAAACAGCCCTTCATAGAACTGTGATGCCACTCCTGGAAAATGGATAACATTTCTGCTTAACGGCAGTCCCACCACATCCATACAAACTGATATACTAGTTTGTCCAATGAAGCAGGACAATAATACTCCCTGAGCTTTATCAGACCTAGATCCAGTTGTTTGCTATTTCAAGCCCTTTGACGCGTCATACAAACAGCATTATCATGTGTAGCTTCATATATTTTGTTATGTGTGGTCTCTCATTAGATCCTGACACAATCCCAACAAACTATTTAACTGCGTGACAACAAAATGCATTTATTCATTCGAAAGAAAACAAAGCAAATTTGCACTTTCTATTAAAAGGGGCATTGATCTTGTGACGGGGGAAGAACATTTTTGGCATGAAAAAGTGAATTAAGTAGTCAATCATAACAGTGAGGTTGCTCACTTGATTAACAGAAACTGCCATTGTGATAATTACCACTCCAACCTTGAGGGGGCATATTCATTATTACACAGTTTGGTGTAAACACTTGTTATACTCCTGCTGTTCCAGAGGAGGGCAGAAGTGTCACACTGTGTTTTCTGCTACAGGCTGAAGTAAATCTCCCTCTCCAACCTGATATGGCAAATTGGAGTCCATTTAACTTTGATAAATACACCCTTTTCAATCTTGAGCCAGCGGCCATTCAAAACTATCAAGAGGCTACTTTGGCAATATTTATGAATCCTTATATTTCTCTCATTTTGCAATACTGTTGTTCCTTTGTCTGACAGCACAACTGAAATTAGGTAATAATTTGAAATTGAACAGGAACATCAAAAACAAGGAAGTTTTCCTTCCACTCATTGGAGACACATTAAATGAAAACACAGTTGGTGTGGATACACAGTAAGAGCACACTGAGGGCCGTGCAGGTCTAGAATAGGCTATATATCCTTTTAGTGGACAAATAAATCATCAAGTTAAACAAAAAAAGTACCATAAAGACGGAGCACGTCACTCATTTAGAGAAAAGCCATTTTCTCAAAGTATTTATCTTTGGCTGTGAGAGGCATAAAAGATCAAACCATAACACTTCAGTGGCTTGTCCAGACAATATTAAATGAGGTAAACTGCCACGGGCACCCATCAACTGCTTAAAGACATCAGAATTAATGCCCCCATAGAGAGAGGGTCAGCCTGCAGACTAATAAAGACGCTGTCACCGGCTCCGGCCACAGGTCTGATTAACTACGACGCAGAGGGTCGAAGGATTCCAAACCAGCCACACACACACACACACACACACACACACACACACACACACACACAC